ATTTGAAGGAGTAGGGTACTGGGTAGAACTATTAGAAAAAGGATTGGGTGATGATAGATTTAATGGTATGATATAATAAAATTTGCGTAACAATAAAAACAAATATGATATTTAAACTAACAACATAGTACAATAGGTAACAATCATCCAAACAAGTTATTAGTATTCTGATGTTTTGTGTGTATTAGTTTATTTCTCTCCCATTATAGTCTTTGATAGTTTTATGCATCATATTGTTAGGGAACAATAACAACGGACCCACTTTAGTCCTACAAGTGGGGTCTAGGGAGGGTAGGAACCTGACTATAGTTGAGAAGATAGACAAGTTATTTCTGAAAGACTCTCGACTGAGCAAACAATGGTATCACAGGTCATGTCCTCGGTGAACTGAATATGTGGCATATCGTGCCTAATCACCTATCCTATTAAAAATTGTCTTAGTTAAGTCACAGGGCATTTTTTCATCATTTGTGCCTTTGCTGTTAGAATTGGTGCAAATCCTAATATAGTGAATTAACTTACTGTTCGAATGGTGTCACAGATGATTATCGTCTACTTTGTGGTAATCTTGGGAATGAGGTCAATGATGATGTCCTATCAAAAGCCTTTTCAAAGATTCCAACCTTTAACAAGGCTAAGGTATGTTCTGTTAGATTTGTTTTATTTTCTAATACTCTTACATTTTTATGCTTTACTTTTGATTGGTATACATCATACGCTACATCTAAAATGATCATTAGCGGCAATTAAGTTAATTGCCGCTAAATATGTATTTTTAGCGGCAATTAGCACTCTTTGTATATGTCCCTAAAGCCTTTAGCGACATTGGTTCTAATGACACTTAACTAATGCCGGTAAAGACTATATCTCTCTTTATTAATGTCAATATTTATTACCGCTAAAAGTTATTTTTGTTGCAGTGATACATGAGCTCTGGTAATTTTGGTTATGAAGGGAGAGAGACTTCTCACTGTTTTCAAATTGGAGTTCAATAACTTTGAAAATTAAAGAGACATATTAGCAGTATCATTGTAGGACCAAAAATTATATCCCTCAGGTTGTATGTTTGTGCGTCTTTGTGCATTCTTTTCCTCTTATGATGGGTATAGTGAAGACATGCATGTTGACTTAGTTCTATATGTGCCTGTGTATTTACATAAATTGAACAATATAACTATAAAATCATTATTTACCTGCTAAAAATAAGGGTGAGATATCTAAAGTGATGAACATCTAATTGGCGAGATTCTAGATTGGTGGCATTTAATTGATAACTGACAAATCTGTCTATGACACGTCCTTTGGACCAATCACAGCATTCTAAACTCGGTGGATAATGGCCCACTCCTCTACCCTTCTTCACTTAAATACCGGGCTTGGCTTTGCATAATGTGGAGCTTGAACCTGCGACCTAAACCACAAATCCTCCACCTTTTGCCACTCGAGCTAGGCCTTGGGGGTACTTTAGAAGATACACCTTTAATCGAAATATCACTAAAGTGTCGTTGCAGCTCTTCCCTCTGTCTCAGAATGTCACAAGCACTCCTAACACTAAACTGGCCAGAGCTGTTAGGCGTCCACCAAGGTTTGTTGATTGAAGAACATTCGAAATTACCCAGATTAAGGGGAAATGTAGGACAAGTAGTAACTAGTAAAGTCGTACAACTATTTCTATATTAAACCAACAAACTATGGTGGTTTGTTAAAAACTACTCTGTTATTTTATAATAAACACAGTTTCTTCCTTCCAAGCAGTAATTAGTTACTCTTCAGCATTCTAGATATATATTTTTTTTAACTTGTTGAAGTGACAGCAACAATCTGTCTTACCTTTTCTGTTCAAGTAAGAATAATATATCTAATCCTTTATTGTGCATAACTTGCATACTGTTTCACTTTATGTCTCTCAAGGTGAAAATTCTCAGGACCATCTACATTTTCTATCCCGAGACTGCTAGATAAAGGGACTAAAGAACACAACTTTGGTACCTCTTTTTTGGCTCAGAATACCGATCTTCTAGGGTTAATCGATGTGACAATCACCTAATCACTTTGAAGAATTGGTATAAATGCACATGTATGAGTAAAACAACATACATTCAAATTTGAAGATTCTAGTAGACATACTGATACATGCTCCAACAGCCTTTGGGTTGTCCAATGAGTAATGCTTTTCTGTGTTGAGGGAAGATGTGAAGGTATAATTAGCAGAATCCCAACTTAAACTAATATTGGCATAAATAAAAATTTGAATAAACCATAGTAAGTCCAAGAATATGCATGCTCTACTGAATAATATCTTGATAAACGTACATACTATAAGACGAGTAAAGAAGGGTAGTGAGAGGTGACCTTTTGCCTTTTTCTGATGTGAAAATACTATGAGGAAGACTTATGTTGACACACTTAAACTTCTGTCTTGATATGTAATTCAAAAAATAAACTAAAATATGAAACTATAAAAGAGAAAAAAAAAAGAAGAAGATGATTTAATGCAAAAAAAATTAAATAGTGAAATCAACTAAACTTGATACCTGTGGACAATGAAGTTGACTGAATGACGTACATGGGTGAAAACAGAGGCAAGCCAACACCAGGTAATAAAAACATAAAACATGATTTGATGGAAAATCGTATTCCACTAAAATCCGTATTCATAAAATCAGTGAGAAACTGATAAACCAGCCTTGAATTACTGTATAATCTCCTCCAATTGTCAACGCGCATGCTCTGTCATCTGCTGGAACATTCACAGGTTTTGAGACATGCTTTGTGATCCTACAAAAGTTAGATTTGTTGACATTTGAAAATGGCGTCCATCTCGTTTGAGATATTCGTTGCTAAAGATGGGAAGGAGGCGATTACAGCCCAATATTGTGACATAAGGAAATGAGGCGTTGTTTTGGTGAACTATGGGAACCTTTTTATTTTATTTAAAAGTTGATAAACAATAAATATAAATGCGCGCTTTTGAGACATGCCACATCATTGTCTAAGAATCCTCTTTTATATATTCGTCTTGCTTTCTTCAAACTTTGTTGTATAATGGTATGTTGTTGCTTACAAGGTTCAGTAACAAAGAGTTTCTATTATGCATGTTGACAGATTGTGAGAAACAAGCAGACTGGTAAGACCAGGGGATATGGATTCGTGAGTTTTTCCAACTCATTAGACTGTGCTGCGGCACTTACAGAAATGAATGGTGAGTCTCTTATTGTGCTTAAACAGTTATGTGATCAGCTTAGAGTTTGGATCGAACAGTTCTTGGGTTCCATCTTCTTCGATGTCTTTCATGTCAAATGATTCAGGTTGATATAAAGAGTTCCTCTATTATTTCAGAAGTTTGGTTTCGTGTAGAGTTCACCAAGTGCGGATTACATGAATGTGTGAAGTGACAGTAGTTTTAGTTATTGAATTGGTGTAATGTTGTTCCCAAATGCCTAAATGAGGTTGCAATTCGTGTTGTTTCCAGGGAAGTACGTTGGAAATCGACCAATTATACTTCACAAGAGCAAGTCCAGGATTGATTATGAAGCTCTGAAAAGACGCAGGGCAAGGACTTTCACACAGTGATTGTCCTATGTAGTATATGATTTGTTGAAGTCATAGATTGACTTGTTAGACACTGTCAAATAGCTTGATCTCGTTGGAATTTGTAAAGAGGACGAAGACGTCTAACGTTGCTTTAATGTTCACATCAAATTAATAGATGCAAGATTGAAGACGTATGTCATATGAAGCTTAAAATTTGATGGACAAAGTTAGTCACAATTCCACTATACTCATGTCAATGAAAGGTAACAGCAGTTAAATGTGATGTATTTTTCTTTGAATTTTTAACTTCAAATATTGATTATTTATTTTTTGTTGAAAGACTCTATCATGCCAAATAAATTTGTTGTCGAATTGATTATTTCGATTTTCGAAGATGAAGAAACAACATCAAATTAATGTCTAGAAGGAGATACAAACTCTTTTTTTTTAGTAGATATTCCTTTTAACAATATTATTGTACATAACAGAAAAAATATTTTAATCAAAATTCAGACTTCATGTTTGTATTAAAATTGCATTTAAATTCACTTTGTAATTCAGACATCAGGTGTGATTTATGTCTCTGCATATTTAGATCATAACTTTAGATATTTTAGCTTTTCTTTAAATATGGGTCCTAAGTTCGGGTATTTGTGAATATGCCTCGTCTAAATTTTCATTGCTTTAGGCTTTTGAAATTTTTTTAAAAAAATAATTACATATTGTCTCACTAAATAATAATTTTGTAAAAGATTTTATGTTAAATACATCATTCCTTCATATTCTAAGTTAGATGCATGCATCAAAGATACAAAATACATGATCTTTGATATCAAATATATTCTGAAATACAAATACACGGAAAGAGAGGAATGAGCGAGAGAGGCGAGTAAGAGTCGATATGTATCTTTGGTACTAGATGCATGTATCTTTTTAATACTAATACATAAGAAGAGAGACAAGCGTTATAGGAGAGAGAAGAACGAGATAGTGAATGTATCTTAGATACATGTGAATCAAAGTTTGAATATAGTGTATTTCGGTATAAATTACACCTAATTTGATTCGAGGAGAACAAGATAGTGAATGTATCCTAGATACATATGAATCAGAGCTTGGATATAATGTATTTTGGTATAAATTACACCTAATTTGACTCGCATATATCTGTGATATATGTATGATGTATCTGAGTGGGACAAATACATCTATCTTGCAACATAAATGTTAATTTCGAAAGCTAAAGTTAAAACAAATAATTAAGTTATAAAATAGTGAAATTTGTAATATAGAATGTAATTTCGAAACTAAAGTAAAAGAACGTAATTAGGTCCTAAACAAGTTTTGGGCTTTAGCTCATAACCGACTTTCAACCAATTACTTTACTTTTCATTGTTTTGGGCTTTAGCCCATTTATCCAGAATATATATTCAGACATATTTGGTTCATTTTCTTTCACCCGTATTTGATCTCTCTCCGTTTTTCAGAATTTTCAATCACAATAATCCCCAAATCCCTAATTTAGCGATCGGAAAATCCCAATTCACCGGCGTAGCGATGTCATCGGTGCCTTCAACTTCGGCGGCAGCTACTTCATCGTCGTCGCAATTCACCTACTCGAACGGCACCTACTTTCCGACGCCTTTTCATCTCCAACAACAACCTCCTCAGCCCTACATAGGTGCTGCTCCTCCGCCCGTTCAACTTCCTGCTCCTTCCCTCTATCCTGCTCCTGCTGCTATTCCTGGCGTCTACACTTTGCCTCAGTTTCAACAAGTAAGTATTTCAAATATCAGTAAATATTGATGGCCTAAAAGGACAATAAACGGAAGTTATAAACACTTGTATCTGAATTTCGCTCTCTGTGTATTCGTGAAAATTTGAAATTGGTTGTCAATTCTTGAGTTGTGATTGCGTTAGAGTCAGGCTAATATCCATAGAAAGTTTACTTATATGTTAAGTTTGCATTTTTCCCATCTAAACAAGTTGCTTATAGCAGTGTTTTGTAAATTTCCTGTGAAATTGTTGCGATAATTTCTTTTTGTTGAAATTTCCTGTGAAATTGTTGCTAATAAGGGTGTTGTCCAGACCAGCTTGCTTGTTGAGATCATATTTGCTTCTGTATGTGTGAATATGTGCTTGATAAGATATCATGACAGCCAATTATAAGCTTGTTAGTTTCCTTTAGGAGGAGAACAGACAATTTCTGTAGAAGTATCTGCAGATGGCCTTTGTACATATTTAGCTTTGTCAAGGTAAACTAGTGAGCTTGTTTTGGAAAAAAGAAGGTAGCTTTTTTCATGTTTGTAATATATGTAATTCTTGTGGACAGGCTCAGCAGCTATTCCAAAGAGATGCACAAACAATCACACCTGAAGCACTTGAAAATGTGAAAGCTGCACTTGCGAGCAGCGAAATTGAGCACAAAGCTGAGGCCAAGAAGAAATCTGTACCTCGTAAGGCAGCTGGACATAGTTGGGAAGATCCTACTCTGGCAGAGTGGCCCGAGAGTAAGCCTAATTTCTTATTTCTTTTTCTTTCCTCGTCTGTCTGTGCCTCATGCTTTTTCTTTTGGGATTACTCTAGTTCTCTCTCCTTATAGTCTTCGAAGTTTTGGGCATCAATTGAAATGGATACTCGTGTACTACCTTGTGCTGAAGGGTTTGGCATTATAAATTAGGTTCAAAGCGACCCGACAGTCATACAATTTGGAATTTTAGGAAGAATTCAAAGACTTCAGATCTATTAGCCTAAGGTGAAGTGCTTAAGATTATTGCAGAACTCGCTTGTCAGGATGATGTATGCTTGAAAATACACTAAATGAATTTGTGTTGGTTAAGTTGTGGGGAGTTTTTGTCTTCTGTTTTTAATTTCTTATCTTTTTCTGCCTTTTCTGGAAGTTTTTAGTAAAAAAAGAACTCTGCGAAGTAATCTATCAGATCTTACTTGTTTTAGTATTATGCTCTTTTTTTTTGTTTTGTTTCTGATAAGATGTTTTAGTATTATGCTTTGTTGGTCCACTTTCATGGATTATGGCCTGCTGCTGATCGTTTTTCTTACCCAATTATCTATTTATCTTCACTAATGGTTCTCTTAGGCACTTCATCCTGTGATGGCTGTTTGCACTTATTTGTTCCTTTGTTGTTAGAATTGGTGCAAATCCTAGTAGAGTGGAATAACTAAGTTACTGTTCTGATGGTGTCACAGATGATTATCGTCTATTCTGTGGTGATCTTGGGAATGAGGTGAATGATGATGTCCTATCAAAAGCCTTTTCAAGGTTTCCAACGTTTAATATGGCTAAGGTATGTGCCGTTTGTATTTTCCAATAATTTTACATATTTATGTTTTTGATTGTTCTACATGAGTACTGGTATTTCTGGTCATGAAAGGAGAGAGAAATCTTTCTATATGCTTAGACAGCTATTGATAGTGTGTGGGTACATCGAATGTGGTGTGCATGCATCTAGTGTGAGAGACTTCTCCTCACTTTTAACTGCTTTTAATTTGGACTTCAATGACTTTATAGTAGTATCATTTTTTTTTTTTTGAAATAGGACTTTATAGTAGTATCATTGTAGGATAAAAAATTGTATTCCTCAAGTTGTCACCGGTCCGATAATCTCCTTCTCTTCTCCGGCATAGAATCTCACCGGTGTCTCATTCCAGATTTGGGTAATATACCCTATTCCTTCGAATTCAATTCTCACTTTCTTCGGAATGCTATTTCCCCCACCCTTCACTAAAATTCTCGCCCATTTTAGGTGATTTCAGAGTTCTGTCTCCTCCTCCGTCCTTATCCATCCTCCACAAAATTCCCCTACTGACATAACAACCTTGTCTGATCACATGTGAAGAGGTAAACATACTTGTCTGATCCAGGTCTGTTTGATGGCTGCTCTAGATTGGATAGCACCGACAGTTGGTGTCCACCATTGGAGTTGCAAGCTCTGTTTCTTCCACGAGCAATTACCTCTGAGTGCATGTTCTGCAGCTTGAATGAGGCGAACTCAAAAAGGAATTGGGTTTTCCCCATTTCATAGATGTTCAGACCATGGAATTGGTTCCAGTTCGAATTAGCCAATCTACGAATTTCCGAGAGGGTCGGGATTTCAGCCCCATTAACCTGACCAATTAAGGCTCCTGCTCAAAGCCTCATAGTGAGAAAATTTGGTGTCATCATCAATACAGATTATATCTCCATCTTTTTGGTGGTTGGCTGGTTGCAGCATCTAACCCTCTGGAGATCCATTTATTTCTCCCGACTGTTTCAGCATACGAAATCTCCTTATCAATCAAAGTGGGGGGTTTTTGTTGGTTATCCTTGTGGCTCTATAACAAATGAACCTCTCTAGTTGTTAGCCAAATCCCACATGCCTACATTGAATGCTATTTCTGGAATAATTAATACTGCTCTGTTTTCCCCTATACGCTGATTATATTTTTATAGCTCCCCCTATTGTTGAAATTTCTTGCATGGAGAAGCTGGGTAGATAGTTCCTGTTGTTTCCATCTGCAAACAGTATTGCCTTTGACCTTTGAAGCTTCTTTGAGGGTCCTGCACAGCCATTCCATTGTGTTCTGACTAAAACTTGACCTGCTCATCCTATCTCTTCCACGTTCAGCCCAGTCATACCAGCTTTCTCCGCGAGAGATGCTTCTCGAGATGTCAAAGGATTTGAATTCCAACGCAAAATAGATTATGTTGTTTTCCACGACATGAGTCAAGGAGAGAGAAAGAAGGGGTTGATGGCTAACCATCAATCATCAACCCCTTTTTTTTTAATTTTCAGTTTCAAAAAAAAAAAGAAGGGGTAAGGTGTTAACTGAGTTACGGGAAGGAAAATTTTCTGGTGCCAAGGCCACCGGTAAGGGTGGTTCTTCCCTCCTAGGAAGTAGGAGATGGAACTATCTCAGTATTCGTTTCTGGGAGCATTTTTTACACAATTTCTTCTACTCTGTTTCTTAACACACACATCAATTTTTTTCAAGAGCCTTTTCAAGATAAAGATAATGTGATCTAGACTTGCATCTTCCTATTTAGCTGTGGATTACGTTTTCCTATCCATCATGGTTTCTAATCCTATGGCTGTTACATTCTATGAGAAGTATTTTATTTTATATTCAGTCTTGCTCTCGTGAATCTTTATTGTATAATTGTATGCTGTAGCTTACAAGGTTCAGTAATAAAGGGTGAATACAATGCATGTTGACAGGTTGTGAGAGACAAGCGGACTGGTAAGACCAGGGGATATGGATTTGTCAGTTTTTCCAACCCATTGGATCTTGCTGCGGCACTTAAAGAAATGAATGGTAAGTTATGTGTTAATCATTATATAAATGTGTAGTCTCTTAGTCTCTTTAAGATATGGCAGCATAATCATTATTTTAATATATAATCAATATTTTTTTATTGTTTCTTGGTTCCCCTTTTCTTTGATATCTTTATGTCAACTGATTTAGATTAGTAGAGTGCCCTCTATTGAGCCAATGGTTTTTGTATTTGAACGTGTAATCCCTCACCCCCTCCCCTCTCCTCTCTCCACGAAAGAAGGAATAGTGGAGGAAATAAGTAACAGAACTCTGTACTGAGGATACCATTTAGGACTGCTTTTGAAATCAGTTTAGGTAAAGAAAAAAATAGTGAGGAAAAGAACAACATCAACCAAACTTGTATGAGAGAATTTCGGAAGTCTGTTTTTTGTGGAGTTTGTAAAGTGGGGAAGTTCATCAATGTCTTAAGTGGCAGTTGTTTTAGTTATTGAATTGGTATAATAGTATACCTAGATGCCTACTAATGATGTGGTAATTCATGATATTTTCAGGAAAGTATGTTGGTAACCGGCCTATTAAACTTCGCAAGAGTAAGTGGCAAGAGAGAATTGACTATGAGGCTGTGGAAAGTCACAAGGTGAGGTTTTTTGCGTGGTGATTGTCCTACTTATATTATATTACATCTTGATAGTGGCATTAACTGACTACTTTTTTTTGGATGTGTTGGATCTTGTGGCAGAACCGATCACATAAGAAACCAAAGCAAGCAAAGAAGGGTATATTTCACAAGTGAGCATGCACCAACCATGATAAGGACTCAAGCAGCAAGATACTTGAGATGTACTTTTAATGTGTATTACTCAATTTCTTCACCATTGTCCCTGCCTGGGAAAGAAGGATCAAAGTATAGTTCCAGGATGTAGAGAGGCGATTTCGATGTCTGCAATTTGTTATTCACAATGGTATAATATCCATCAGTTGCTGGTTAATGTATTTCTTCCTCAAGAACCCTAGGAAGAGAGCTCTGGATGATCCTTTTTAACAAACCATATATTGATGGATTAGGAGAAACTAGTTGTGGTTTGGAAACTTTGGTTTCATACTTCCGTTAATGGTGTACTTGTTGGATATTAAACCTAATGTAGGTGTACCAAAGATGATTCAAGTTTTATATTTAGATTGTGGTTCCATTGCATCCGTTTTGTTTTTCATTAATAGGGGTTGTTTGGTTTGCGGATTAAATTATCTTTGGGATTATAGTATGAGAAAGTAAATTACCATAAACCTTGCTGCTAAGCTATGTAAACACCATATAGGATCTTTTGATTACAATTTAAGAAACTCAAATTATCTTATTTCAGACACTGAATTCCTTAACTTCAACTAGCACGAATAAACTCAGTTGCCTTGCTTTTTGGTAGATTTATACTGGGAAATTTACATGAGTCCACTCTAGTTTGTAATATTACTCATTTTACTAAATTTTGGTACCTCCAGATACATGTATCTTGAAAACATGGAGTCAAATTTAGGTGTAATTTGTCGTAGATAATATAGTATCGAGTGGATTCAAATGTTTGGGATGCATAACAAATCTTCCTCGCCTTCCATCTCTCTTGCCACTCTCCCATATATCTAGTATTCCAGATACATGCGAATCACTTTAGATACATGTATTATGATTTGCATGTACATGGGGTACATGTGAATCTCGCTCGTCTCTCTCTATATCTGATAAGAAAAATACATGTATCCAAGTGTAAGATACGTAAAAAAACTCTTAATTAATGGTAAGATACGTAATTTTTTTTTAAAAAAAATATAGGTAATAATAATATATATAATATTTATGTAGTTTTGGTATATTTTAATGTGTGGATCATAAAAGGCTTGTGTTTTTTAGGGGTTCATTTAATATTTTTCCTGTGGAAGTATGGACGTAAGTGAAGCGAAGGAGAAATCCGGTGGATTGTATGGTTATTTACAATCCTCAATTCCTCACTGTGTTTTATGATTTGCTACAACAAAGTATGTCCTGTTCAGATTTTGTACAACGAAGAGTATATTTAAACTGTTTCTTATAGTATAGGGGTTATTTGACCCTTTTCTATATAATATATAACTAAGCAACAAGAATCGGGTATCGACAACTAGATATGCTATAAACACGAGAATAAAATCATAAGATGTCATTTAAAATTCGATAGCCAAACTTCAAAAATCGTATATACGACGCACTTGCCAACGATAGCAAGCATTCTCTTAGTTGGTGAACTCAAAAGTACAATTACGTATCACAAAAAAATTGTTTGTTGTCATCTTTGACTCCCCTACACAACAAACACTAATCTCTTCAACCTTTCAACACTGAAAAAATTCCTCAAGATGTACAAAAAAACTACAACTCTCCATTACGCTACTCTTGGTGTTCACGTGCCTCATAAGCTCCTGCACAATACATGAATGATTAAGAGCCCGTTTGGATTAACGGAAAAATAAAAAGTAGGGAGAGTACTACTTTTGATTTTTAATTTTTTTTTAAAGTTATTGTAACTTTGCCACACTCCCAAAAGCTAAAAATGATTTAAACGTAGGTTTGACCAACTTTTAAACCAATCCAAACAGGCTCAAAATCATCTAGAATATAGGCAAAGACAAAATGTCAATACAACAATCATCAGTGCAAGATGGGGGATATCACATGTTATTTAGGGAAGTGAAAGTATATGATCCAAACGTGTTTTTCTCAACCCCATGGTGGGATAAAATGAGAGCTTTGTAAAGGCAACAATTTCATAAATATGTCCTGCACTTGGAGTGACAGAAGTATACTATCCACTTTTTGGTAAGAGCAGCACAATGGAAGAAACCTTTTATTTTTACTTGGTATGATAATTGATAATTTGATATGATGACAAAATGAACAGAGTTTAAATGGAAGCACCATTACTATCTTGCTACTTAAGAAGGGAAACAAAATGAAGCCTCAGCTTCAAAGCACATTCAGTATGCTGACACACTCAAATGGTCTCATGCTTTTCCAAAAAAATAATAAAAAAGAAGCAAATAAGAGTGCAAGGAAGCAAAATGATAAGTAAGAGGTCATCGGAAACTTACGATGTTCCAAACAAATAAATTCTTTGAACTCTTGTAAGTTCGGAACCATACTGATTGTCCTCGATAAAAATAGTCACACTGGTCCAACAGCAATACAAAAGATTAATGCCAATTTACAAATGAGTACTTCAAAATATGGAGACAAGCTATTTAAGCATACCTGTGAATGCCTTGAAACTTAACTTGATTCAACTTAACTGTTGTTCCCTACAAAAAAATAAATACAAGATACTTGAAGAATGAACATCGAACCTCCAGGGAAAATCTTAACAACTCTACGAGCACAACCCCATTAAGTATTTTTTGTTAACACATAACCGAAGAAGCAGAATTCCTGAACCAGGATTAGCGTACCCTGAGATTATCTTCAGATAAAATTACTGTGTCTCTCGGAGTGGTTTTAGCAGCATCACTGCAGATAGGTCCAATTCAATTAGCGAATACACATGTTAAAGGTGAAAAATGTGCCCACAAATGGCTCAGTCCAGGAAAGGACACCAAATATTATGAAACTACAGAAGTCACCTGAGATCAAAGTGCCTTTTGTTAGCAAACAGCTTCACAGTTTTAGGACCTTTAATGTAGGAAAAAATGTGTTAAGGCATGGCATCAATTTATATAGACTTCTTAACGAGACTTTAACAGAAACACCAAAGAGCCACTTTCACAGTAAGTATGGCATGTGTGACAGCAAAGTGAAAGAAATCAATAATAAATATCAATCAGGAACTATTACTTAGCATTAAAACAGCACGTAACCACATCATTGACTCGCGACATCAAAATGTCAACAGATAATCTACCACTCAACTGTATACATGATTGATATATATCTTGAACTTTATGCCTATACCAATACATAAAAGAGAGCAGAGCAATTGGTGAACCCCATTATAGAGAAGCCTGTCACAAATTTCTTTCTGAACTGCACTCTCTGGCTATCCCACTAACAAGAAATGAAAAGATTTTAAAAGGTCACTGCGAACTAGGTAGTTTTACAAATTATCCATTTTTTCTTGCTTTCCTTCAGATTTATGCATAAATATCATCAAGATTTTACTTAACAAGACATAGTGGTGTATCCATCAACTAGTTGATGCATCATTTAGCTACATATCCATAAAATAAATTATGAACACATGCCAGAGTAAGAATTTGTTTATCTAAAACAGTAGACCTACAAAGGTAAAGCTTCCAAAAAGCTGAAAATGCAAAGAGGTTAAACTAAAGGTCTTACGCACCTAATAAGAGATTACCGAGGGTAAAAAAGACACGAAACCCATTGCCTACCTTCCTCCACGGGTCCTCCAATAACCAATGAATGCAAATTGATAGGCTGCATAAATGGTACGTAAATCAATAGCTGCTCATCTGCAACGCTCTCCAAGTTCAAGTCATTGAACACTCTGTAATCCTAATTTAAATATTCAAAATAAAGTCAACGCCATTAGTTTAAATAAAAACAAAACAAGGCAACCTACATTGGATGAAGGAGGTTTCATTGATAGCATCAAGTAGAAGCAGAAGCTACTACAAAAGATTATGTCAACTCCAATTTATAAGAGACTAAGCGAGTTTCCATTAAAAAGAGCTTAAGCTAATATTGTGGATCAAACAAAATCCAAAATAATGATCAGTTATATTTAAGCATGACAAATTGATCAAGCTAAATAGATCTTATTTATACAAAAAAACAAAGCAGATACAAATTGATCTACATCTAATATACTGTTTCTTTGATAATAATTTTATCCTATTCACTGCTCAATGTAAAATTCCTCAACTTGAAAAATATATGGAAGGCAGAAACATAATCAATCCCAAATTTAAGAAATGAACAAAAATCTTCTCCAAGAGAATCTTCTCCTTTTCTACTTAGTTCATTAATTGTACCTTTTCTAGGGCATTGCTAATACAGTGGATGCGGCTTCCATTAAGGCATTGAACACTCCGCAGGTCCACAAAGTTCAACAAATCAACCTGTTCATCACCCAGAAGTCACAAAACATTTATATATGTTAAAACTTACATATGATAAAATAGCCTAGAAACCGAAAATATAAGGATCTCTAAAATAGTTAATACATCTTACTTTAAATTCGGGAATTTTTACAACCAATGCATCCCCCTCAACTTCATGTTCAATACCGGTGTTTGCACATTCATCAGTATCCTCATATTTATCTCGATCAATAACACCATGAAGTTCTTGAGGTTGAACCTGAAAACCAAAAGGAAACTGTAATTTTAGAAAAAGAATAAAACAAAGACAGTATAAGTGGCGTACGTACCATAGAGGTAGTACCATCAGCCCATGTAACCTCAATGTCGCCATCTTTGAAGCCAATTATACTCCCAAAGGAGGACAAATCAGAATTTTCAGCTTCTCTTGTTATTTGGCGGAACACCAAGTTACCCAGGTGATAGTTAAAAAGATGGTGTCGATTCAGGTGGCAAGAACTAATGATCTCCTCATTTGGGAGATTTACCCATCTAACTGTTGTGGTTTTCTCCTTGTGATCAACAGATTTAACGACTCCCAAACCTTCAGAATTATCCAAAACCACATATTGACCGATTAAGAAATCGTGAACTCCAATATCAGAAATGGGTTTCAGTATTTGTGGTGGTAGGTTTTTTTCTGTTGACCCATTTTGCCAAGTCACATCAACAGAAGTTTTGACATCACCAAGTAAAAAAACAGTTTCAGGTTTTAACAGCACATGCCGGCATACATTTCCATATTTCCAAGTGGAGCGAAATGAAAACACTAGTGTCAACCTGTTAGGATCTTGTTTAGCAAAGGGAGGGGAGTCATCATTGCCATCAGAATTAACGATCCATTCAACAAATACTGATCCATCGACCAGTTTTGTTACTGTACATGTCCGTTTCGGGGAAACATTCACCTCCTGTCCAAGTTGTAGTGGAAGACCATCCCGTTCAACATGTGGATGAAGACCCATCCCTCCTTTAAAAGTGCGTAAAGATTCATTCTTGAACTTTACAGTAACATCCCGGGTAACAAAATCTACCTTACCCAACCAATTGTCAAGGACTACCAAATCTCCCTCCAAGAATTTTGTTACACGCTTCAGTTGGTTAGATGGAATGTAAGAGTTGAGCGTTTTAGAACCATACAGACGAAACAATTGATTAATTTGAACTACTTGTCCAAGTGTCTTATCTAGATTAGAAATGTGAGCAACAAAGTCCCCCTGTCTAAACTTTCTTCCCCTGTCATTCTCCAATTCTTCTTTATTCCTACCGGCATTGTCCGATACAGAGTCATTGTCAAATGGAAGGCCCGAAGGAGAGTCTAACTTGGCATTATCTTCACCTTCCATCTAAAAATCTAACAATGTGACATATAGTTAACCACAAGAACATTAAGTAACTACATTACATATAAAACTTAACCGATTCATAATAACCTCAACAAAACAGGCACAAAAAATCGTATTCATAATAACATGCATGTCAACCAATCACTATTCATCACAATAATAACAAGCGCAACAGAGTACAAAAACCCTACCCTAATTTTTTTTCAATCACCATCAAATTCCAACTGCGAAAGAAGCACCGAGTGGAATCATATAAAATTAACAACAAAACTCAACAATACAACCGGTAAAGCTGAAGATACAAACTCATGAACAGAGTAAAAAAACCCTAACGTAAAATTTTTCACAATAACATGCACGCTTTTCTTCTCAAACAGCATTTCATAGAAATTAATTAAAACCGAGAGCCAGCTTAACATGGTCAAAACGTCACAAATGGGGAGGCCGTCGGGCGTCGGTTCCAACGCAAACACAGGGATAGGAAAATGAGAGCTACGAAGAAAGAGAAATAAGGACAGAGAAAACTTACAGAGGTGAACGGAGATGGCAGTCGCCGGCGAGCAGTGAACGGAGAAAAGGATCGGTGTCGTGGTGATGAAGTAACAAAATAGTAGAGTAAATGATTTTAAATTTTTTGACTTAAGTCTGTTTAAGTATAGCTAAGAAGTCAGTTAGTTAATTAGCTAAGATCCTAATCAGTTAATTAAGGCTAACTAACTTAATAGTTAGAAGTTAGTTAGTTATAGAAGTTTCTATCATGTAGGTATAAACTAGACACAAGTGTCCGTGCTAACACAAGTTCGATATCTGTAATTTTTTTAAGTTTAATTTATGTGATATAGATAGAATTTGGAGTCAATTGCATTTTATATAATTTTTAGATATTTTAAGTTGTTAATTTTTGTAATTAATAATATTTTTTTACGTTAATAATGCATGTTACTTCCTCTTTTACATTTTATGTAGCACAGGTAGATTTTGACGAGTCAATTATATTTTATGTATTCAAGATATTTTTAGTTTTAATTATTGCAATTTATGTGGCGTTGGTACTGATAATTATGTTTTATGGAGTACATCATTAAGACTAGTGTTGTTGGATAAAAATAAAATTGGTCTAGTTGACTTAAGTCTTAATACCCCCTTTGATTTAGCAAAAACAATTTGTACCATATAATATATATTTGAACAAGTACACATCATAGCGTATATCAAATTTTCGATAATACTATAATATGAATTTGAGATATGACTTCTTTTTTTTTGCCTTTCAGTGTTTGGACATATTATAAGGCTTAAAATGTCGCATCTTACTATACAAATATCCATGGTTTGTAATTATTTATTCGAAAGTGTTCCAGACAAATTACCTCCTTGTGAAATCTCAAGTACCAATGCCTTGAAGATTGCTCCAACTAGGGTGGCAAAATCAAACTCAATCCATTCAATCTCTTTAAAAAGTTTGGACGGGTTATTGACCCACTAGTTTATTATTTCAGCCCATTTAAACTCATTTCATTTCTACCCACTAAAATTTGGGTTAATATGTAATCTAAATTAACCCATGAGAAATCTTGTCAATATTTTAGAAATAACTTTTAATATTTTTTGATATGTTATATATAACCATAATCAAGAAGAATTTTTTTTATTAGGTACTAAAATACTTTAAAAGAACAAATAAATAATTAAAACTTAGTAAAAATTGGGTTGGATTTAGTTTGGTCTTAACCTGTTTTATGATCCATTACATAGCCCGTTTTGACCTGAGCAAGTTTGAATCGGGTTGGATTAGGTCTCAACCCATTTATTGTCTTGACATATTATGACCCGTTCAAATTTGACCAAATCCACGTAATAGTCACCCCTAGTTTCAAATCATAACTAGATCTTTTTACCTTACATGTTTTCTTTTTTTGACCTTTAACAATGAAATACACGGATTGTTTCATGTAGATTTTTTCGTTTAGTTCTCCATTGAGAAAGACGGTCTTTACGTCCATTTAATGTAATTCTACATCCAAACATGCAACAATAGCCAAAAATAACTCAAATAAAAGTAAACTTCACAACCGATAAAAAAGTGTCCTCATCATAATCTATTCCAAGTTGTTGAGTGAAATTTTTGTTTGCCACCAATGACGCTTTATATCTCTTTATTTATTGATCCATTCAATTTGCATTTAACTTGAGAACTCATTTGTTCTCAATAACTCTACACAAAGGAGGAAGATCAACTAAATTCCATACTTTATTGATTTTCATGGATTCTAATTAGGAAAAATCATCCCATATACACATTTAAGAGTCAATATTACATGTTTTAAATCAACTTTTAAAAAATTCTAGCTTATAACAGTTTAATTACGGGTTATAACATATCATTAATTATTTATAAATTAATTAAATTTTACTTTATTAAATAAGTATTTTTTTATAATTTTATATTATTATTAAATTATTTAAATAAAGAATACCCCATAATTATCGCTTACACAATTATAGGGATTTTACATTGATTATACTTCCTTCTTTAATGTTATACTCATAACCTCCCATTAGTCTTCCCACCACCCTTCCCCCACACCTATCCAACTATACACACTATCACCCCACTTTCACCTTCATCTCTCCCATTTTTCTCACCAGCCAACTACACCAACATTCAATCTTTCGTCCAATTTTTTTTCCAACAAAATTATGTCTAAGAAACCCATTGAAACGACTCGAAAGAGTTCCAGATTGGGTGAAGGAACATCTAATAATGATGTTCATGTTTCAAATTTTAATATATTAACTCAACCCCTCCTCCCCTCCCCCGCCTAAAATTGTTGAAAATTCGGCGACAGATGGTTCATCTAAGTTGAAGGAGCGACAAAGAGAGAAAAAATGAAGAAGAAAAAAGGTCACCCCTGCAAATCAAAAGGGGAAGAAGAGGAAAGGGAAAATTGTTGAAACCCCTTCTGATTTCGATTTTGATTTTGTTACTGAAATCAAAAAGAAAAAAAAGACAAATGTAGAAGTTGGAGCATCTTCAAAACCATCAACCAGAAGAACAACAAAAAGTTATTTTCTTTTAACTTTTGGACAATTTTTTTGTGTTTAAGTATTTGATGATATATAATATCATATGTTTTCTTTCAGGCAGATACTGTTTACATATGAATTACTGATTGCCTATTACAATTTCAAGATACTATTTTGAAAATATCAGTGTATTTTCAAACTGTACATTTATTGGATGAAATCTGGTTAATATGTGTATGACTATGCTTTAATGTTTTGATTTTAAAATTTTTATGAATTCTGATATAATAATGGTATACAAATGGTATGAATTTGGTGTGATTGTCTATTAACTGTGTTTACAGTATAAATTTTTAAATTGGTATGATTTGTCAAACTATTGATTTTTTCTTTAAAAAATCACATTATGCTTACTTTATATTCTAAACATGTTTTCTGAATGAAACGTGTATGAAATATGATTAATACGTGTATGCCTATGAGTTTAATATTTTATTATTGGATATTGTATGAATTGTGATATAATATTGATATACAAATGGTATAAATTGTGTGATTATATGAATTTATCAATTTTTATACATGTTGTTTGGATAAAACATGTATGAAATTTTGATTAACATGTGTATGACACTAACTAAAGTTAGTGTGGGAATGAAACACTAACTGCAATTTGTTTTAAATTTATTTATAGTAGGACGCCGGTTGAAAATCAAATTAATATTCATGTAAACTTACTTAAATTAAATACTCAGGATACCATAATTACCTTTTATAATTATCACTAATATTTACACTATCTTATGTATTAAGCTGGAATAAATTTTATTTTTAACAGTATGCAATCTGTATGATTAATGAATGAACCGTGTATAAAGATTGAACGGTATATTAAACACTAAGTTTATAATGCACTTCAAACCAATTATGTTTCATATCAAAACAAAACATTAATCTAAACGATGACAAAATAAAATAAAAATTATATATAGTCTAAACAAATAAACAGTCATTAGTTTTGCACAGGATAATTTGAGCATGCTTCATGTTGTGGCCAACTTGACAACATCTACTGCAAGTAACTTTGGACCTTTTGAATTTCACATCAGCAACCCTCTTTCATATATAATTCATTTCATTTGAAAATCAACATAATTCTCTGTTTCATTAAAAAAAATAACAATTAGTCTAACATTATACAAATCAATTAGATATATGTTAAATAATATTAACTTTTCATTCCAAAGACAATACAAATTTCATCCATAAAAATCATTATAATAACAACAATATTATACGCACTCGTCATTATTTTTTCATACAAATATCATTCAGACAATACATTACAAAACAAATTTCATACAAAACATAATATTTCACATTTAATACTCACTTAATACACATTTCATACAACAATCATCATTCATACCAAATTTATACATTTCATATTCATTTAATACACATTTCATACAAAACGATTATTCATTCAAACTATATACATTTCTCGTCTCAAATAATTAATTATTGTCACCCAATTTATTCAGAAATAACAAAACTAATATAAACTCAACAATTTCACATTTAATACCAATTTAAAACACTTGTAATACACTTCGTCAAGAATTCCATTTTTTTTTTACATATTTCTTAACACACTTTTCATACATAATTCATTCGACTTATACTATCAAATTCATTATCAAATAAAATAAATTTTCATAAATTCGTCAACATTATAATTAAATTATTTTTACAGAATAATTAGCACACTTTCATACAAATTTCATTTAATTTATCCTATCAAATTTATTCATAAAATCACATTAAATTTATAATTTCACAAAACAACATCCGTATACAAAATAAACAAATAAACACTAAATTTTTTACATTTCACAACAGTAAACATAATATGATATCAACAGTTAACAAAATATGACTCCACCTTCAATTAATCGACAGTTTGATCATTTTTGTTACATTTCGCTATCATTCTAAAACAAACGTTAAACAATAATACATACTAACCCGAAGGATCGCATCTTTCACCATGTTTGATTAAAATTGATACGTAGTTGTCCATCACAACAAAATCAAGAATTTTTAAAGATGAAAAAACTTCAATTACTCGAATGTGAGATTTTTTTTGTTGAAAATTGAAGAGAGAAACGTTGAAATTTTTTGTTGCAAATTGAAGAGAGAGAAACGTTGAAAAAAGAAGAAGATAAAATCTGAATTTTTATTTGATTTTAATTGATTTGAGTGAATTAAGGATACTAAATAATCTTAATTAGTTTAAATCCCTTAATTCGTGCTATTTATTAATTATCTACAATAAATTCAAATTAAATTAACACCACAATTTCAGTTTATTACCTGTTTTCATTAAAAAACATTTTTTTTTCATTTTTCTTTTATCTCTTTATTTTATTTAAACAATTTTTTTCAATTATTGAAAACAGTTTTTTTTTAAATTATTTGTTAGAACCTGAAATTTTTAATGTTATAACTTAAAGGTCTAAATCTACTGCTATAGCTTGAAAATATTACTATAATATATGACATATATAAAATTACACTTCTAATTACTCTTT